GCACAGAGCCCGATGCGGGGCTTGAACCTATGAACTGTGAGATCATGACCTGAGCCGAAGTTGGACGCTCAACCAACTGAACCACCCAGGCGCCCCCCAACTAATAATTTCAAAGCAGGGTGAGCAGGGGATCTTGTGAAATTACAAAGTGGGGTCTCCCCTTTTGGAAGGATGCGAAGACTCAGCCGGGGCCCTCCCCATCAGTCTGGCCATAGGGCACGTCACCCCAGCCCACGGTGCCTGCCATCGCGTTCAGGATGCCTGACAGCGCCACCTGCGTCTCACTCGATTGACCGGGGGTGGACTTCGGCTCCCAGCAGGGCCAGTTCGATTCTGGCTCCGGGAATGGGGACTGGGAGGTGCCTGGGCCCGGCCTGAGCTGGTCCGTGGAAGCAGGGGGGTGTGAAGCCATGCTGGTGTGATGGTCACGTGCACAGGAAGCAGACGAAGCTTGGCCGCAGAGGGAGGAGGAAGGGTCCCCAAATCGGGGCAGTGAGAAAAGCACCCGAAATATCGCCAGGCTTCCTGACGCCTTCCAGGACTGACTCTGGTTCTCTGAGGGCCCTCACTGCGCTCGGGTTCCACACCAAGCTGCCCTCCTTCCGGAAGCCCCCTTCTCTGCCTGCACGGACTTGGGTGCGTGTCTGTTGCAGCTTCACTCCATCAGGACCTTGGCCCACACCTCCCCGCTGGCAGGGCCTGCACGGCCCCCAGAGAGTTGCCGGCTGGCGGAAGATGTGGGACTCACCCCCTACCCATCCTCTGCAGCAAACCAAGCCCACTGAGGCCCCGGGGGCCCCCACGATTGCTAGCTGTCACCCAGACGTGCCACCATTCATGACCCTTTGGTTCCTCTTTCTAAGCCGCGGCCATCACAAAGTGGCACCCCCTCCACGTCTCCGTGTCTCAGATCGTTAGTGGAATGGTACCCCCCCTGCCCCATGTCTCGGCTCAGCGCTGCAGCTGCTGAACGGGCGTGGCAGGAACTGACCAGAAGCCAGAAGTCCCCGGGCTTGGCCCTTGATGGAACTCCCCAGCCCAAGAACTTGTGATGAAAACAGCTGGTGAAAGAGATGTTGGTGTGAGTCCAAGACCCACCAGCCTTGTGGCAGCCACGTCGGCATAGGGGAGACTGACCTGGTCTTTGCTCCGAATGACGGACCCTTCAGGTGCGGCCCCCTCTTGTGCATTTACGGGTGTGGCCCTCCGAGCAGCCCCCCTGGGTGCCGGGAGAGCAAGGGGGCAGAGGGAAGGAACTTTTGGATCTCGGGACAGGCTTGCAGGCACGCTCCCTCTTCAGGCCGGGCTCCTTTATGACCGGAGAGAGCTTGTCTTTGGTCTCAGACACGCCAGGACTCGACTCCCGCCTGGCCAGCAGACCTGGGATTTCCAAGGAGAGACGTGGCCGGTCCGTTCCCACGAAGACTCTTGGGCACATCTTGGCCGTTTCCCATTCAGGGCCCCTCAGGAACCCACACTCCCCATGACACATCATCAGATTCAAATCCAAACGTTACTTTTTGGAAATTAGGCTCTAGGATTGCACAATGATGGAAAACTGTTCATCAAAATCAAAATGCCCTGCCTCTTGTTTTCACTTTGGTGGCTCTAATGACAGTAACATTAACTAATTCCTGCTACGGGCCAGACCCCGTTCTAGTGATTTTCCATTCGTTAATGTATACCTTGAAACCATGAAATGGTTTCAAGGCAGCCCGTAGGGACACGGATGCCATTGTCCTCAGCCTCAGTTTACAGACAGGGAGCTGAGCCCAAGCCAGCAGCTTGAAAGTGGAGAGGTTGGGACTAGAGCCCAGCCTGACCCGTTCCAATCGATGGCACCAACCAGCGAGTTACAGACTCAGTCGGCTCCCAGGGGGTCACTAAGAGAGGTCAGGTGGGTTGAGCAAAGACACACAGCTGGTGCGTGGGGGGGTCAGGATTGGCCCTCATCCATGGAGACAGAAAGGTGGTGCTCATTCCACGGGACCCCTTAGCTTAGCCCCCGAAGAAGAATGGAGTATCTTTCATGGAGAGTCTGCTTGGTGCCAGGCTGGGTGTTTTCGCGTATCTTGTCTGCAAATGCTTTGAGCTCCACCTGTTGAGAAGCGTGCCCTGCGCCTCGGCAGGCTCTGTGATTCCACTAACAGTATGGCAGACGTGACCTTCTCTGATTTCACAGGTCACGCACCCTCCACCTGCTTCCCTTGGGAGGCTTGCTTTGGGTAGAGTGAAATTCAGACTACCTTGAGACTACCTTCCAGGAAGGACCACATGGGAGCACTTCAGTCGAGACCTCCTGCTGAGCCCCCACCACGTGGGTGGCAGCCGCGTGTCCAGCCCCCCTGCTGGCACGTGACAACAGTGGCTCGAGAGACGCATAAGGAAGTACCACCCAGCTGGTCCTTCCCGGACACCTGACCTGCAGAACTAAGAGTAAAACAACATGGTTGTGTGAAGCCGCTACATTGTGGGATAATTTGTTACACAGCAATGGTAACCATAACATCCCATCTGAGAAATGTTAGCCAGACTGGGATATTAAAGAGAAACAAGGGGCGCTTGGGTGGCTCAGTCAGTTAAGCATCCGACTCTTGATTTCGGCCCAGGTCATGATCTCGAGATTCATGGGATTGAGCCCCACAACGGGCTCCGTGCTGACAGTGAAGATTCTCTCTCTCCCTCGCTTTCTGGCCCTCCCCCACCCAAATAAAAAGCTTAAAGAGAAATGAAAGAGCTCAGAAATGCCCAGTGGATTCCCTAATCCCTTCAGGTCACCGGGTTTAGAGGCCAAGGTCACGGCGGTGGTCCTGGACTGCCTGAGTTGGAGTCTCAACCCCAGCACTCAATAGCCAAGTGACCTGAGCCTCAGTTTCCCCATTTATAAAACAGGGCCCACTAGAGCCCCTCGCCTCACCATATTGTGAGAGGGTCACCGGCGGATGCCAGTGATGTCCTGGGCACGGTGCCTGGCACGGGGCGGCACTTGCTGGAAGTCAGTGGGCAGGGGTGGGCATGGTCAGATGCCAGGCCACGGAGGCTCGGTGGGGCAGACGAGAAGCAGGGGGGCAGATGAGAGGAGAGAGGGGTGAGGGCCTGGAAGTTTCCATGGTGTGCGGGGCCCTGGGGCAGGGGCTGCCAGGCTGGAGAGGAGCTGGGAGGCTGGCTAGCGGATGACATTGAGAGACTGGGAAGGGTGTCCCCAGAGCCACCCTGGGCCAGCAAGGAGCCCGCAGAGCTGCCACAGAGAGCATCGACAAGAAGGTGGGGCTTCGAGTTAGCAGAGCTCTGGATGTTTATTACCCCTCCTTAGCCCCCATGCGAAGTCTGATCCCACATGGCTTCCCTTCCTCCCTGCTGGGGTGGGGACCCAGTGTACTCCACTCCCCCCGGACCCAAGGTTTATTGGTGCACAGGCAGTGACAGCTGAGGGGACAGGAACGTGAGCCCACACCCCAGTCCTCCCCTCGGGAGCAGTGTGGCCTCTGGGACACTACTTGCACCCCGTGCCTTTCCTGATGGCCGCGGCCCCAGCCTCGAGACTGGGGGTGGGGGCGATCAACAGGATAACGCATGTGAGGCCCGGTGCCTGAGAGGCACCTCTTCTCCCGGGGTTTGTCCTTTGTCGAATGGGGAGCTTGTTCTGGGCCGGTCTGCTCGGCACCGAATCCCCACAGTGTCTGGAACAGAGCCTGGCACACAGTAGGTGCTTAGTAGGTACCAGATGCCTGTTGAGCTGGCGTGATGCTGCAAAGTGAGAAGAGTCCAGGAAACGATCACAGGGTGCCGGTGCCGCTCTTTGTTTGCATTTGAGCTGCACCAAAACCCTGGGCAAGCGTTTCGGATTCCTGAACCTGGGCCACACGCGCCCTGCCCGTCACTGAAGGGCCTTCCCTCGTCCCTGTCCCACTCGCTGTCCATCTGTGTCCCCCCATCTGCTCTGGCCTCTCGGGGCGCCCCTGATGCTGGAGATCCCAGAGGGGCGCTGTCCGCCCGCTGGTGCCAAGTGGTGGGTTCCCGGTGGTCTTCGTGCAGGGACGGGGCCGCAAGGACAGGCTTCTCCTGCTCTGGTCCGCACACAGTAGGTCCACACTCTCCTCTAGTCCCTTAGCCCCTCTAGCCTTGGTTTCTTCACCTGCCGCCCAGGACCTTAGATTTACCTGTTTCAAAAGCAGTTTCTCCTGGCTATAAACTGACAAGTATTTACCTGCACAGGTTAAGGACGCTAAATGCCTGGGGGCAAAATGTAGCTCGACCAAGCCTACCTCTCACCAGCTGTGGGACTCGGGGCGCGCTCTTCTCCAGGCCTCAGGTGCCTAGTCTGTGAAATGGGACCATCTCCACCACTGGATTCCCGTGAATGTGTTCTGGGATCATGAAGGTAAAGTGCCCAGCCTGGCTCATGGTTTAACTGCTGCCATCCGGGATTGTCTCTGAGGCTTCCTTTCTTTAGCTGCACTGTGTGTGTGTGTGTGTGTGTGTGTGTGTGTGTGTGCGCGCGCGCGCGCGCGCGCGCGCGCCTGTTATGTGTTGAGTGGAGTTTTCTACCACCGTGTGGACGGTGGGAGTAAATTCAGCAAATGTGTATTCCGTGCCACGGTTTACGGAGCCCACACCCTTCCCGGTTTTATTTGCTACGAACCCGGGAGGTCGCTTCCCTATTCCCATTTTCCATTTGAACCACAGGGAGATGGGATTTGGTAAATTTGCAAACTGGTGGAAAGTGCTTGGCTCCTCGCCGGGCGCATGGTAAGCGCCCAGTGGAAACGGTACTTTCTTGGTCAAGGGCGCAGCGAAGACACCGCGCGGCCCCCGCCCCGCCCCCCCCCCCCCCCCGGCTCCCCCGCGCCCGCGGCTCTCTCCGGGGGCGGGGCGGGGGCGGGGCGGGGCGAGGGCGGGGCCTCGGCCCCACGGCCCTGTCAGCGCGGCCGGCCGCCGGGGGGGCGGGGCGGGGACAGCCTACAAGAGGCGGCGCGCGGCTCCCCCGCGGCCACTGCACCCCTCTGCCGCCCCGGGTTCGCGGCTGTGCGGCCAGCTCGCTGCGCCCACCGTGCCCGCCGTGCCCGCGCCGCTGCCGCTGCCCGACGCGGGAGACGCCCTGCGGAGGTAAGTGTGACTCCGCGTCCCCTCCTCTCCAGGCTGCGATCCGACCGGGGCGGCCCGACTCCGTCTCCCGGGGCTTACTCTGCAAAGGCACTACCCCGAACCCAGACCCGGCTCAGCCGCGCGGCCCTTCGCAGACGGAGAAACTGAGGCTCCCCGAGGACAAGGCATTGGCCCCACACCTCACAGGCCGGAGGCGAGGGCGTCGGGGCTCAGAGCCCCGGTCTGGCCGCACATTCGTGCTCCTGGAGCCGGGTATTCTTGGCTCCCTTACGCAGTTCGCTAGCATCGGTTGCATTCCTGTGTACACAGTGGGCGTCAGTAAATGGAAAGCTGATGGCATGGCTGCGGCAGGGGTCTGAGTGTGTCTGCCCACATGCGGATGGCCGCGGTCGTGCGGCCGGCGTGTGCGTTCTGCTCCCGTTTACAACGCCACGCCCCTTTATGGTTTCATTTGCAACAAACCTGCCAGGTAGCCACTCTCTCCCCACATTTCAGATGAAGACACCGAGGGCCGCAGGGGGAAGTGACTGTCCAGTTAGAGCCAGGGCTGGGACCCAGCCCTCCCCCCATAGCTCCAGAGGGACGTGTCCGGTGTGGGGCATGACAGTGCCTGCAGGTTTGGGGCACACGCGGGGCCTCTTGGCCAGAGCGGGCATCCGCATACACTCCTGGTGGGGGGAGGGGCTCCCGACCTGAGCGCTGAGGGCTCAGCTCTGCGGTCCTGGGGACCCCGGCCACGCTAGAGGGACAGAGCCACAGCCTCCTTGCCCAGGGCCAGGCTGGTGGACAAGCCAGGAAAGGCTTTAGCTGATGCCTGTTCATTGAAGTCTAGCTTCCACTGGACGTCTTTTAGGCAAAAGGTGAGTTACTGCTCCGGGTGAGAGAAAGCAGCTGGCAGCCTGTGCAAATGCCAGCTTGCCTTGCAACGTGGGTTTGCATTTCCCCTTGAGCATTGGGTGCCGTGTCCTGGAAGAATGGGGTGACCCTGCCTTACCCCGGTGGGGTCTTCTAGGGTCTAAGTCTGCCAAGTGAGAGCGAGCAGCACAAGGAGAGGGGCGTGCCCTTCCCTCCAGCCGGACCCAGAGGCCGTCTGAGGTTCTTTGTATTCTCTGCACCTGCTTTGCTATTTCTGCCTCGGATCTGGCTGCTTCCACATGGGTGTGGAAGGTGTGCGAGGTGTATTGCTGGTGTGGCAGGGGTGAGGCCATGCTGCTTCCCTGCATTTTCATCCCTGTCACATGCCCGGGCAGGAGGCCTCTTGATCCCCATTCTACAGATGAGTAAACCAAGGCTCGGCGAGGTAAAGGTTGTGCAACAGGTCCCCTGCGGCCGCCGCGCTCTTACCTGCTGGGTCCTGCCTCCGTGAAGACAGCTCCCTGCCCAGCCACGAGCTCTGCCTGCGGACCTGACCTTCACACAAGACGCTGTGCCGTCTGGGAGGGTTCCAGGTGAAACCTGCGGGCAGAATTAAGCCCAAGCCCCAGGTTCTCAATGATAGGCACCCTGGGAGGAGACCGAAGGCGATTTTGATTGTTTTTACGGACTCTCTTAAGCTATAGGACTGGGAATAGCAATAGTAACATTTATAGCAATACCAGCAGCTCGTATTGGTATCAAAACTTAAGGCTGAGCCAGATGTGCCCGGGGTTTGAAGTGGATGATCTCACCGCCTTCTTTATGAGGTGGGCACTGTCTTCCTTTTTACAAGGAGGAAATGCAGTCTCGGGTGATTGAGGTACGTATGCAACGTGACGCAGCCCGGGACAGGGGGGAGCTGCCCCCCTCCCCTGCTGGGCCCCACCCCCCCCACGCTGGGCCCCACCCCAGATTCTGGACGGAGGCGTTCAGCCAGTGGCCAGCCTGCTTGCTGCCGCCGCTCAGGGCCTCTCGTGCCATGTGGAGTCGGGATCAGTGCTGGCCCCCAGAGCTCTGCCCCTGGACTTGGTAGCGGGGGGCCTGGAGCCTGGGCGGAAGTCCCACACTCCGTCCCTCCCTCAAAGACCCCAGGTTGGCTCTCTGGCCTTTCGTAGGCTGCATTTGAAAACAGTCCCCCAGAGGCAGGACCCTCAGACGCTGACCTCTTTGGCGTTGTGGGAGCTGGAACATTTCTTTCCTCTGTCACCAGCGTAATTTACTACGCATGGGAGGTGCCTCTGTGTCTGCTTGCTCCAGACCTAGGAAGGTTTTTTTTTTTTTTTTTAAACTCACTGGTTTTTGATCAGTCCCAGATGTGCAAGCCCAACATCACTCAATGGGGCTGATGGCTTGTCAAACAAGGAACGTACAACACAGGCACGATTCATTTTATCTTCCGTTAATGGACTTGAGTAGATGCTCAGACCTTCATGGGATGGGGACCCCGAGCCTCTCGTGAAGTCTTAAATGAAGCTCGCTCCGTTCTGGAACAGGGAGGGCGGGGCAGGTTTGGTGGTGGTTTGTAGGACCAGCCATTCCCAACCTTCCTCCCTCCCTCCCTCCCTCCCTCCCTTCCTTCCTTCTTTCTGAGACAGAGAGGCAGAGCATGAGCAGGGGAGGGGTAGAGAGAGAGGGAGACACAGAATCCAAGGCAGGCTCCGGGCTCTGAGCTGTCAGCACGGAGCCTGACGCAGGGCTAGAACTCACGAACTGTGAGATCCTGACCTGAGCCGAAGTTGGACGCTTAATGACCGAGCCACCCAGGCGCCCCTAAAATTTTTTTAAATGTTTATTTTTGAGAGAGAGACAGTGCAAGTGGGGGAGGGGGAGAGAGAGAGAGAGAGAGAGAGAGAATGAGCAGGGGAGGGGCAGAGAGAGAGGGAAACACAGAATCCGAAGCAGGCTCCAGGCTCTGAGCTGTCAGCACAGAACCCGATGAGGGGCTCCATTACTTTCAATGGCCAAGTAATAATCCAGTGTGTGGACGGACCACGTTTCTTTTCTCCAATCTCCCTTCTTGGCTTCTTTCTTAAAGAAGCATAGACGCAGTTCGTCTGGTTCCGGAACAGACCAGCGCCCTCTGCCGTGGACGTGGGGAACTCTGGCGTCTGGGTGTTTGGAGGGGGGACATGCTGACGTTCCCCCTGTGGTCACAGCAGCAACTGAATCCTGTCTGAGGCTTTGTGTCCCAGCCTGCGCAGTTGTGGGTGTTTGTGGACAGACACCCCTTGTCAAGGCAATGAGGACAGACGGCCCCTCGTGGCTCAGCCCCAGGGAGATTTGCCTTTTCTGACCGTCTCGAAGGCTGTGTCAGCTTAGACAAAACCACAAGATCCGGGGGACCAAGCCATTCCTAACGCGGACCATGCAACTTCTGGGCCAGCGTTTAAAAAATATTATAAATTATGAAATCCCACATTCTCACTCCAGATTTCGGGACCGCGCCCCACTGTGAGTGCAGACGGGCAGTACCCCAGAAGGAAAAAGAACAGAGCTTCCATTCCGTTTGCAGTCAGATGGGCCCCAGAATTGAGCCTGCTCTGAAGTTCTCCTGGATTGGGAAGAGCCCCCTCTGGATCTCTCCGGGATGGGGACCTTGATGGCATCTGCCGGGGCTGATTTGTTAAGAGCCTGAGAGATCCTTCAAGAGCAGCTGCAGGGAAAGGTGACAGAGAGCGCCCCAGGCGGAGGCACCGCGCGTGTGCCACAGCCTGGAGACGGGAGGGGCCGGGCACCTGGGGCAAACGGTGCCTCGTTTGGTGTGGCTCGAGTCCAGGCATCAGGCCGGGCGGACACGGTGCCTGCAGGTGGAGGGAGCTGCACCGAGTTTGGATTTCTGGCTTCAGCTGCAGGGCATGCACTTCAGAACAGATCGCTGTGAAATGAACGGTGTCCCCCAAAGTGCGGGGAGCCACCCTCTACCCCCCCCCCTTCCCGGTCCCCAAGGTGGCTGAGCCTGCGCGCAGACCCGGCAGCAAAGGTCCCCGATCCAGGAGCCGTCCTTTTAGGTCAAGGCGAACGTGGGTGGTGCTGTCTGACCCCACGTCTGCCCAGCACCCTGCTCGCCCTTTACAGCAAAGGCGTAAGAGCCTGCGGCCGACCTCCGTGCCCAGCGGGAGGGCCTCACTTGGTGACTTCAGCATGTCTAGGTTTATTCCTACCCTCCGACCAAGGCGGAACCGATCATCTTCTTTGTAAATGGTTGTGATAGAAAATTACCTTTTACAGGCAAATTTCTGTGAACCCACCGTGCGGGCCGTCTTAAGTAAAAATACAAAACAGGGACCTAGTGCCGGGAGCCGGTGGGAAGGCGGTGGCGCTGGGGACCGGGGTACCCCGAGGACTGGAGTTTGGGGAATGCTGGATTAGATCAGGGCAGGGCATGAGATTTGAGGCTGTTCCGGTCTGGGGGAGTGGCTGTCGAAAGTGGGGTCCCCCTTCAAACGGGGGGAGCAGCAGTCCCTGGGAACTTGCTAGAAATGCGGGTTCTCAGGCCCTACCCCAGGCCCCTTGAGTCAGAGCTGTGGGCGTGGGGCCAGCAAGCGGTGATTTAACGATGGTTTCCGGTGCAGGCTTGAACGTGGGGCCTCCTGCCCTAGAAAGCTGACGAAGACTGCCCTGGGGCCCTGGCACAAACACGGGGTGGGGATGGCCGGCCCGTGGGGGAGGGTGGTGTGAAGCTGTAGGGAAGGTTCCGTTTACGGAGCCTGGTGCGACCTGACGGAGGTCACACAGCCAGATGGGAGGAAGAGCCTTGGGGGCCAGCGTGGCCACCTCCCGGCAGGGTCCAGGGGCCTCTCCAGGCAGGCTCAGAGCCTTTCTTCTGGAAGAATGCTCAGCTGGTTGGCACTCATTGCTCTGGGGCCTGAGCAAGTGTCCTGGGGTTTCCAGCATCTTCCTTCAGATCACATTTAGTGTCCTGTGTGCCCTGGAGCTTTGGAGGTACGTCTGTTCGTAAGCCCCTAATGCCCCCTCTGACACAATGAGCCAATGGGCTGTTCCTCGACAGCCCCGAAAACGTATCTGCATATCTGCGAGTATGTATATCACCTATCGCAGCCCCCTCTCCCCCTGCCAACCCCCAA